AGTGTTCAGGATATACCCTGTCACTGAATGGGAAGTGAAGAGCAAAAACTTATAATGCATCAAGTCTGCTTGCATTGGGACTTTATGTTCAGAATTTTAAATCTTAGACACAGAACCAGTAAAAGCAATAGGGGGTGGTTTAGATTACAGATGGTCTTCATGAATTTCCAGTCAATTGTTTTGTTTTAGGATGTAGTACTAACTTCTTCCAAAGATTTATTAGAATTGTGACTCTCAGACAGCCTAGCTAGTTTGATTTAAACAGAGCCCTCAGAAATGTTTTCTGGTGAACTTCTCCACCCTGCCAGTAGACTTAGATACAAAGGTTTTCCGAGCTTTTTTCCCTTGAAACAACTTGGGGCTGCATTTACCGATGGAAAGTTGTCTTCTGCTACAAGTCATAACTGCTAGGAAAACGTCAGTGCTTTTACCTTCACAGAGGTTCCCTTTTTTTCTCCCCTAGGCCTTTAACAAATACAAGAGAGAGGGGTTTTGCCTTCAGAATGTCGATAAGGCCCCTTTGGCTAAGAGAAGAAAAATGAAAAAGACTAGCACCAGTACGGAGACGCGCAGCAGTTCCAGTGAGAGTTCCCATTCTTCTTCTTCTCATTCTCATGGTAAAACTACACCCACCAAGACACTGCAGCCCAGCAATCCTGCCGACAGCAATAACCCAGAGACCCTCTTCCAGTTCTCGGACTGAGTAGCTTAGGCATGGTAGGAGTGTGACAGTGATCCATTGCACCTTGTTTCCCTCAGCATATGCCGGAGGCGATGTTTTATGCTTTTAAAAATGTTTCCCGTTGGTCTCATTGGAATCTGCCTCCTAACGGTGTTTTTCAGAAAAACCTGTTTGGTTATCCTCATCCAAAAGCACTGGACAGAGAATGTTACTGTGAATAGAGCACATGTTACTCTTTTTAGCAACCTAGCATGATGCCAACAAGACTATTCTTGAAAGAGCAAAGGTTCCTGTAAATGTAATTAGGGTTAGATTTGAGCTGCTTGCAGAATAAGTCACAGGTTTTCCAGATGTCTGCCAACAAGAAATGACTCATACTGTGATGATGCCTTTTGCTTTGCCTTGTGGACAATGTGGGTTTTTGAAATTTGCACCCTTCAAACGGTGATTTATCAGAGAAGGGGGTCTGTTTTCAAAAAAAGATTCTGTAACGAATTTTATGTGTGGCATATACTTATTTCTTGAGAGAAGATTTTAACTTATTGTTTTTATTTTATGGTTACTTATGATGATAACCTGCTATTATTAATGTTTTTCTAAAAAGTTAAAAAAAAAAAAGACATAAGAACTCAAGGTCCCATACTCTGTGGGATCCATTTGAGATGCATGCTAAGCTATGTGTATGTTTTTAATTTTGCACTGCTCTTTCCTGGCAATTTGTTTTAATGGTTATTGCAGAGTATTAAGGTACATGTCTCTCTGTTTTAAGTAATATTGCACTTAATAAAAAAGTATGAATAAAGCAAACTATTTTATAAAGTGCACTGTTTAAAGCATTTGCACTGTATTTTTGCCATTTATTTTCATTTTCTACTTTAAATTTGTCCTCACATCCCTCTTCTACTTTGTATGCAACAAGTAGAATGGGGCATGTTGTGTAATGCTGTAGTCAGCCACTTATGCACCAATGTGAGGAAAACCTAAAGGGAAATTATACTAAACACTGTGCTTCATATTTGTACACTGTGTTGTACTACAGTGAGGAATTTCCTCCTGTAGTCATATATTATGTACATAATATTTTAAAATCATACCTACGACTTGGCTGGAAATTTTTCTGTTAAATTTTAAATCTAGAAAGCATATTTTATAAACTTATGCAGAGCACTTTTATTGCTCAAAAGTTCTGAATTCATACAGAAAACAAGTACTATGTGACGAAAACATTTCATTGAAAGATTGCTGCATTTAAAAATATAATTGATTTGTTCCCTATGCAAAAAAAGAAGTGATAGGATTTGTATGTTATATTTTCTTTTAAAGCCATCATGTGAAATGTCAGGACTGAGAAAAGTTATTTTTGCTATGTTTACAGGAATCATGCTTAAAAAGATAATGCCCAACATGTTTATTTTATAGTGTTTGTTAATGATAACCTTTTGAGCATTAGTTTGGAATTTGGACATGATATTTATTTATTCCTTTCTTGAGGTAATAGCAGCATTAATTTCAACCAGTTATGAATACTAAAAATATTGCACTCTATGTAATGGTAGTATATTTATTACTAAATCAATGTATATATTAATAGCACAGACAAAAAAAATGGCAAATATTAAAATATTTTCAAAATATTGTATAATCCTGTTTACATTTTTGTCCACAGTAGTTATTGGGAATAATATTTTATACTTTTTGCTGGCCCAAATGGCTACATGATTCTGAGTTAGTGAAGGTTTCATATGTCCAACTTTCAGTTATTCCTAGTAATTATGGGAAATTTTGTGTGCATTATTATCAAACTATTGCTAATTCACAAAATGTGATTCCATCAGGCACAGATCTTAAGAGAATGACCGTATTTATAATTATATTTTATATATTTTGAGCATATTTGGCTCTACAAGCCATTTTTTTTTAACTGTGCATCCTGGTAGAAAATACTAGTTGTAAAGTACAAACTAAAGGGACTATGTTGCCAATAAAAAATGATCCAGAAAAATGGTCAGACAGTATACCCTCATGATTGATGATGTGATTGATTTATTTCATTGTGAATGTTGGAAATTAATGGGTGTCATTTTCGTGTGTTTCCCTTGCCTCTTCTTCTGGAAGAGGACTTGACAGAGAATGAAATGAGTAAAAATGCAGTGAGGCAAACAGAAGAAGGAAAGATAAGGCTAGCCGTCAACTGATGAGCCTGCCTGAATAATCTAGAATGGCCTTTCGAAAAGACTTTAACAAATACGTACTGTTGCGCTCTTGTCAAATATCTTCATCCTTACCCTACTTATAAGTACCAAAAAGACAGCATTTGATGCCAAGTTTGAAGCAGTTAGGTAGTCTGCAGGCTGTCGGTTAATATATAGTGAATTGCACCTTAAAATTCAGAAAGCTTTCATTTGGTCACATCAAAAATAAACAATACGAAATACTTTATATAAAAAAGTTAAATGATAGGACTCTTTTTTGGTATTAAGAGTAAAATAGAAGATCTAAGAAATAAAAATACTTAACATTATTTCTCTTTATGACATTAACTTTGGGACTAGAGCCAAATCACCCCTTCCCTTCTTTACCTAGTGATTTCATATTGTATATAATTTTCATGCCAACATAAATCCTGATTCATATATTTTGTAACTAAATATAACAAATTGAGAGGCAAGAATAAGAAAAGGAAGGTAATAAAAGAAAGAAATTAAGAAAGACCAGTTTCATTACTCTGTCAGATCTTGTGTCTAAAAGAGGCTAATTTGCATTTTGAAATTCACTGGCAGGGTGTGGTGGCTCAAGCCTGTAATCCTAGGGCTTTGGGAGTACAGAACAGGAGAACCACTTGAAGCCAGGAGTTAGAGACCAACCTGGTCAACATAGTGAGACACTGTTTCTCCAAAAATAAAAGTTAAAATTAACTGAGCATGGTGGCTCATGCCTATAGCGCCAGTTACTCAGGAGGCTAGCATGTGGAGGATCACTTGAGCCCAGGAGTTCAAAGCTGCAGTGAGCTGTGATCATGCCACTGTACTCCAGCCTGGGCAACAGAGCAAGACCATATTTTTTTTAAAAAAAAAAAAAAGAAAGAAAAAAGAAATTCATTAATTCTTCCAAACCTTTATAAAGTGAGAAACCACTGAGTTACTACAATAGAAAGTTTCCTGAGTTAATTTCCACATTGTTGTCTATCTTGGAGTCACAGGTTCATTATCCAAGAAAACTGCCTTCTGATTTTTTTTAGATTACTGCTGATTTCTTAAGTATGTAAATGACTAACCATTAAATATAAGGTTAAGTTATTTTAAAGTAGTCTACTAAGATAGCAGTCACTTTTTTTAAAGTAAGGAAATTCCTTTTGCATCTCTGTTTATCTGTGTTCTCAAAAACACTACTTTATAAAAGTACACAATTTACTGAGTACTTATTCACCTTGCCCCCATTTCAAGAGCCGTTATTGACATATTTATTAGGAACAGCATATCTCATAATAGTGAAAATTTCTAAATTATTGGGTCTATATGTGCCTTAGACCACCTGATTACTTTGTTCTCCCAATGGCTGATAATAATAGCATGATTTGAGTGTTCATTCGAAAATACATCTAATATTCCTTAAGATCTAAGTAAGTTAAATTCTGATATGCCACTTATATCAAAATAATTGTCATATAGATGAATTATTACTGTAACATCATGTATAAGTATCTTAAAATTATATGACTTTTGGCCTCTCAAATGTCTTACATGATAATACCCCAATTTCTAGTTTTTAATTAATTGTATACCTCACATGAGTGTCTGTCATCATTTGATACCTTTATCTGGCACTAAAACAAATGTAGCAGGTGCTAATTAAATTTGAAGTTTAGATAGGAGACATTGTAAAACTCAAGAATGAGAAAAAAAAA